CGCCTGCCTCCAAGCCGTGGGGAGAGTCTCAAGAGCCCCATGCGGGGGAGGTGGGGGGGGGAGTGGTTTGTTTGCAAATGAAACAGCCGAAGGCCTTGTAACAACGTCTCTGGGAATATCCCAGGCAGAGCCGACGTTACCTCCAGCACCAGACTTTTGCTTCGTTCTTTAGCTTTGCTTTTACCTGAAGCCAGACTTTTTAAACTGCTGGATGAAGTACTGGAGATCCGCTCCCGCTAGGATCTGGCTTGGAGGTGGGTCTTCTGACATGCCAACCAGAAGCCCTCCTGCCAAGAGAGAGAGGGTGAGAACATCTGATAGGCAACATCGTGGGAAGGATCAGCTGCAAATGACCCCGAATCCGTGGCCCCAACAAAGGACTAAGGGCTTGCAAAGGGCCTCTGCAGACTCCCTGCCCCCACCCTCTCTCCCCGTGCTCAGTTTTAAAGCCGGATGCTGCTCTGTGAATGGGATTCAGGCTGAGACGGGGGAGCCCGGTGGTGACGGGTGGATGGCGTGTGAGTTTCATGCTGGCCCAGGAGTTCAAGCTATGGGAGCGGCCTCCTCTCCAGAGGCACTGGGCAGCGGCAGCTCCCACTGAGGGTGCTCAGTGCCCGTGATGGCAACACTGGTTATTTAGGCACTTAAATGTGGATTTAGGTGCCTCGACTTTATGCACCAGAGCTTGTGATGTTCAGCCAACGGCTACAGGGGCAGTGGGACAGAGGCCCAATGGTGCCGGCTGGCAAAGGGTTCCCTGGGCTGTGACAGCAGTGCCTAACAGGCCTGACAAACTCACTCCACCCACCACCCCGCTTTCACAGAACGTATCCGTACCCGGGGTCACATGCAGCCCGGGCGTGTCTAGACGAGAACACGGCACTGGTAGAACTCACAGTGTGACCTTAAACCAATATGGTGAAACTGGTCCAGCTAAACCCAGATTAGCTGTTCACACTGAAATCCACACAGACGTTCGCTCTAGGCTGGTTTCGAAGCCAACTTCAAGTCCTACCAGGGCATCTTTCTCCTTTGGACCGGCCCTCAGTGCCCGGAGTAGAACCCTGCAGCCCTGTGCATAGGCCGCCCCTCCAGCTCTCCTGGAGGTTTTTGCAGGGTACGTGCCTCCAGCTGGAGCTGCGCAACGAATGCTTATCGCTGCTGCTATTGACAGCGCCTTTCTGCAGCGTGCATCGCTGGGTGATTTGATTAGAACGCGCTGCGTAAGTGGATTTGCAAGAAAGGGAAGACACCCAAGGAGGGAGACAGGAGTTTCAGGGGCTCTGGTTAACATGCAGCCGCTCCATGCCATCCCACTGGCCGAGGCGTCCCTCCTGCTGCCCAGCGTCTAATTAAAGGGACAGCATCAAGGGTGTTTCTCAGTGTCATAAACATACAGCTACGGGTAGCACAAAATCCCTCTTTACCTGTACGGGGTTAAGAAGCTCAAATAACCTGGTTGGCACCTGACCAAAAGGACCAATAAGGGAAGAAGATCCTTTCAAATCTATGGGGGGGGAGTTTTTGTTTGTGCTCTCTTTGTTGGGTTCTCTCTCGGACAGAGAGGGACCAGGGCAGGAAAAAACCATCTCCTAAAACCTTACCTGAAATAAGCATCTAAGATTACAAAAAATGTAAGTAATAGCAAGGAAATGCGTTAGGTTATCTTTTGTTTTAGCTTGTGAATTTTCCCTGTGCTAAGAGGGAGGTTTATGCCTGTTTTTGTAACCTTAAAGTTTTACCTAGAGGGGAAATCCTCTGTGTTTTGAATCTGAATGCCCTGTAAAGTTATCTTCCATCTTAATTTTACAGAGGTGCTGCTTTTACTTTTTCTTTCTTTATAATAAAGTCTGTTTTTTTTTAGAATCTGATTGGGTTTTAATGTCCTAAAACCCAAGGGTCTGGTCTGTGCTCAACTTGTTACCGATCTGGTTGGTATATTATTCTCAAGCCTCCCCAGGAAAGGGGGTGAAGGGCTTGGGGAGATATTTTGGGGAAAAACAGGAACTCCCAGTGGTCCTTTTCCTGAATCTTTGTCTAACTCACTTGGTGGTGGCAGCGATACCGTTCAAGGACAAGGAAAGAATTTGTGCCTTGGGGAAGTTTTTAGCCTAAGCTGGTAGAAATAAGCTTAGGGGGTCTTTCATGCGGGTCCCCACATCTGTACCCCAGAGTTCAGAGTGGGGAGGGAACTTTGACACTCAAAATGACTCATATTTCACTACACCCACCCTCGCCTAGTGCATGATCTACCCAGAGGAGCTTGCAAAGAAAAGCGATTTCTTTCTTAATACCAGCCTCTCTCCTCCCTGCAAGCACACAGGCCAGTTTGTTATCGCAGGGTCTCTCCCAAGCCTTGGGCTGCACACGCTGGGGTGTTATTGTAGGGTTGCACTATTATAGGACAATTCAATGCTTCTTTTTATCCATCCCTTTTACACCCTTTCTCTCTCCTCCATCCCCTTCTGTCATGGCCCTGGACTTCCTTACGTCCAATGAACAACCCTACAATAACATACCTGTGTGCGCAGCCCAACCCTCGCGAGCAACCCAATCCTTTGTTATTGTAGGGTTGCTTGTGAAGTCGGGTCCGTTCACGTTTGGAGGGAAGGGGAGGGAGCCCCGGGAGTAGCTCGGCAGGACCCCCCTCTGGCAAGTATTTGAAACATCGTCAATAAGAGAGATCCGCCTGCGCCACTAACGACAAGGCTGGGAGATAACGGGGGAACGGGGCGACAAATCCCTTCCCACCTGCGCCATTTTGCACGCTTACCTCGCTCCCGGACGTTGGCGACGTTGAGTGGAACAGGCAGCTCATCCTGGAAGGGAAGCAGCACTAATTAACGGGACGTGATTAACTCCCAGGGCAGTCGGCCAGAGGGGAACTCAGAGAAAAGCCATGGGAACAATCACGCGGCGCCGGGGACTGACGTAGGGGGTTGGTTTAAAAAACAGATGTGCATCTAGCTAACGAGCCTGGAAACGTACTATTCTTGGTTAACTGCCCAGCCGTTCAGGGAACGGCTCCCCCAGGCCAACTCGGCGTTGCGGGGTGGCTGCAGGGAAGGGGCAGGCCCGGCTGTGGAATGGTTCCCCAAAGCTCCATATGAAGGCACTTTTGTGGCCCACAGCAGCACTGGGCCTCCTCTGTGCTCTGCTACTGAGCGCAGCCCCCAGAGCGCCCAGGGAAGGGGCTTGTTGGGGCCTTCCAAAGCCAGGAGCCGACAGACCAAAGCAGCGCAGGATTTGCGCCGAGCACACGGGGGCTGGTGCTCAATGTAATGAGGCTGCTTGGATTTTAGGACCTGGCCCAGTCCTATCCAGACCATGCCCAGTCCTGCCCAGGGCTTCGCTTGCTCGCCCGGCTGGCTCGGAGCAGACGCTGCAGAGAGCTCTAACCCAGCCAGCCCCAAGCAGCGCGAGATGCTGCGTTTGGGGCAACGGAGGATCCCAGTCACTCGCGAGCATGCCCCGAGCACCCCACGCTGCTGCTGGAGCACTCGCTCTCCGCGGGGACAGCAAACACTCATTACCTGACGCCTGAACCCTGTGACGAAGTGGGGCTGTTCTTAATGTTTCCTCTGAATACTATGTGGGTGCCTCAGTTTCCCCTATGCATTTCTTAAGTCTCCAGTGTGCATAAATGGCTGACACTCTGTATCCTGGCAACAAATGGCTGGGGCCCTTCCCCCCACAAGGGAATAGCTAAAGGTGAACAAAGAGATCAGGTGACCTCCTGGCCCAGGAAAGAGACAAAGGCCAGAAAGGAGGGGCTGGAGGAGGTTTCAGTTTGGAGCTGGCTCGGGACAGGGAGTGAGTGCAGACGGGATTGTCTGGCTCGCTGGGCCCCAAGAATGGACCCGGCTGAGGGGTACTGTTCTCTGTACCTACAAGCTCTGTTTTAGACCGTGTTCCTGTCATCTAATAAACCTCTGTTTTATTGGCTGGCTAAGAGTCACGTCTGACTGCGAAGTGGGGGTGCAGGACCCTCTGGCTTCCCCAGGATCCCGCCTGGGTGGACTCGCTGTGGGAAGCACACGGAGGGGCATATGCTGAATGCTCCAAGGAGAGACCCAAGAAGGTGAAGCCGTGTGAGCTTCTTGCCCTGAAGATAGTCTGCTCCAAGGGAGAGGAGGCTCCCCAAAGTCCTGACTAGCTTTGTGGGGAGCAGTTCCAGAGCATCGCTTGGGGACTCCCAGACAAACCCCGATGCCCCAGGGGCATGCAAGAGAGTTGGTTCAATTCCCAGGCTGATCTCACTCCCTGGACTCTCCCGGGACGGGACTAGTACTCCATTGGCTCTGCAAAGGCCTGGAAGCCAAGCCAAAGAACTGCAGCAATGGGCCAGACATCCCTGCTTCCAGCATGTGCCTCCCCCTCACCCCCCCCGGATTTACACTGGATATTAGGTCACTATCATTATTCCTGCGTTAATGATGGCAAAAGGCAAACTGCAGTCAGGTAACTCGCCCCAGGCTACACAGTGAGTTGCAGCTGAGCCAGGATTTAAAAAAAAGCCTTAACTATGAATCTTCTGCCTTCCAGACTTTGAGTTTGTTTAAATTACAAAGCTCTCTTAAGGGTTTTTGCCCTGAAGCTGCTGATAAATATTTACTGCCTCTGTTCTAGGTTAATGACGCTATTTGTATTGTGCTCTGAGATAAAGAGACTCGATGTAACCCCTGGAGAGCGTTCAGGTTGTGCCGTATGCTCAAGGCCCTGTGCCCTCCACCGAGTCCACCCCAGGCACAAAACAGCCTGGGGCAGAATTGGAGCGAGTTTCCTTAAAGGACATCCCAAGCCTTACTAGGTCTTCTGAACGTGAAATGGATGTAAGGCAGACAGCAGTGCCCTGGTTGAGTCTGCAGACAGCCCAAATTATTGTCTCCAAGAAACGTGTGAACTAACACCCTGTTCATCTCACCAGAGCGCGTTAACTCTGAAACCTACCGATGATCTAAATACCAACATTCTTCTCCAAACATCCAGTAGGCCCATCACCGTTGGGTGGAGTGGCAGATAGCGGGGTTGGGGGTTGCAACAGTTGGCAAAACTTCCAGCTGAGTCTTGATGCCAAACTCCTCCCCCCGGAATTTCCAGTCAGGCCTCCCCAGGTGAGAGAGATGGGAGCGGAGAGTTAACCCAGGCTGGGGCTGGATCATCAGCCTCTGCTTCTCCTCCTTCAGACCCCAGCTATGGGATAAAGATCACACAAAGCCCCGCCCTACCCAGCCGCATGCCCCGCCCCTACCTCCTTCCTGATGGATCGGATCATGATCCTAAACGTCCTGCTCAGGTCCTTCTCCAACTCGAGCTCAGCAACACCCTGAAAGAGAAACAGCAGCAGCCGCTTTCAACAGCTCTATCCAAAGAGGACCCAGAGTGCTGGCGGGCGGCTTGGCGGGAAGAGGCCTGTGGGGTAACACGGCACCGGTTTCCCGGGAATGGGGCGTTTCGTTCGTTATCAGCACAGCTAAGATGGTGACATTTCAAAAGGCAACAAAACGCTATGTTAGGAGAACCCGGATCTCCCATGTCAGGGGGCCGGAGAGTTCAGGGGCCTCTTATCTCTAGTCCCCCAACTGGAACCCAACCCAGACAGCTGTTCAGTGACCTATGTGAAATGGGTACATGGCACAGCGCAGCACAACAGTCCACAGTGTCGCTGATCCAGGGACCTCCACAGCTCCCTACAAACGGTCTCCCCCCCTCCACCCGCCCCCGGGGCAAAATAAGTGACACGCCAGGATCACTTCTCCTGAGAACGAATGGGGAGAGAAGTGAAGTCCCGCGGCAAATCAGAGGTCAAGTAGGAAACAGCACCCAGGAGTCCTGGCTCCGAGTCCTCTGCTTGGCCCACTGGAGGAGATCAGCGAGAATGCCAGCAACGGTGCCAGACATGACAGCAGTTTTGTAACATACACACCCAGCCGCTGGGGACTAGACTGAGACCCCACCCCCCCAACTCATTTAACGGGGGGGCTATTGAGCAGACGTCAGATGTGAAAACTTCTGGTGACCATCCAGGTGAGCTGCAACCCAGCTGGTGACCTAAAGAGTGAAAGGCTCCAATAACACATTGGCAATCCCCTTGCTGCCACCAACACAGGTGGGCTGTGAACTGGCACCCTAAAGGTATGAGGCTCTGTGACATTTAAAGACACTTTATCCTAAGACTGTGCAGAAGCCAGTCAATAGTCCTGGTCACCGGCTTTCTGGGCTGGCTATTTGCTGACGCGCCCGAGCTGTCGGCCGGAACGAACTGAATGGCCCTGTTTGCATTTCAGTTCTGCTTTCACTCACTCCAGCTGTCAATTAAAATGAAGCACCTATTAAAAGAAGAATTCATTTGGGGAAAAGCCAAATGCTCTTAGAAGAAGAGAGAAGGGGGAAGATTAATCAGCTTTGGGGCTGGGTGATTTTTTTTGCAGGTTCCCCACAGCTCCACCAGGGCTGATAACGCATCGGGCTGGCAGGCGTCTTGTCTACCAAGTCCAGTTTGGAGAGTCACATGTGCAGTGGCTTCATATGGACTGAGAACAGGGGAGGAGAGGGTTAAACGCACCCAGAGGTTGGTTCTGTCCTGCCCTGCAGGGACCAGCTGTGATGGGGGGAGGAGGAGACTGCAGTTGTGAGCGACTCCTGGGGAAAGATGAGAATGTTGCTTTTCATACCAAAAAAACCCCTAATTTTAAAGCCTCCCAGAGAGAGGGGAAAAGAGAGAAAGCTGCATGCGCAGGCCACACCCCACATTTCTCACCATATTTTGCAGCCCCGAGAGGCAGAGGCACCGGAACATGGGGGCCAAAGGGCCATGGCCCTCCCACTTTTGAAAGTGTATAGGTGTGGCCCCCGTCCACTTTTCGCCAGGGGCCCCTCCTCTTCCCCCTGAGGCCCTGCCCCCCGGCCAGGCAGGAAGCTGGAGCCTAGCCCAGGTACGAGCGGCCCGGGGAGCCCGAGCAGCTGTGGGGAGTCGCTGACCCAGGGGCTGTTCTCGAGTCCCCCACCCTGGGCAGATGGAGGGGCCCGGGCTCCCCAGCCCAGCTCCGGCTTGGCCAAGGGGCAGGGCCTCAGGGAGGGGAAGCAACCGAAGTGTCGGATTCTTTCTGCTGTGCACTGAGTGGTGCTAAGCATGTCAGGGTTTTTTTAGGCTGCAGGAGACACAGGCCAGGTTCAATTCTTGATGTTGTGGTACCCTGTAGCCTGGCGTTTCTGGGAGTCATGTTCTTCTGACTCAATGTAACGGATTAGACGGGGTCACGTTGTTTCAATGGGACTCAAGGTTTCATTATCCACCTCCCACAGGATGGACCATAGGGTAAAAAATACAGTAACATCTACCTCACTGGGAGGATGGGGGTGGCGTGGATTGATGTTCATTCTGCGATTCTAAGAGAGAGCCACTATCTAAGTGCTAACAACAAACAATAAATAGCAATACCAGCTCCTATAAAGGGATTTTCATCAGTAGATCTCAAAGCACTTCACAATGTTACATCATGTGTCTCCAAACAGGTATTACTCACCACTATGTACTTCTCTCTAGTGAGAGATTCGGGGGAGTCCTGGAGCATCCTCCACAGGCTGTCTACTACACTGAATTCCCACGAGAGGAACTTTACTGTTGTATAAGCCACTTAGATCGGAATCATTTCGCCCCGCACTGAAATGTAGCCAGCGCTGGGATGGAATGAGGCAGCACCAATGCACTGAATCGCGGTGGGACATGAAGAATCTGGAAATTCCGGGAGGCAGAACGCAATTACCAAGCGTGGAGTTTGCCCAGGGCAAATGGGTTAAAGCACCGAGAGTTCTTTGATAACCACAAGTGCCTTGGGTTTACATCTAATCTGAGGGACGGTCCCTCCACCAACATGGCTTCATGGCGCTGTTTACATGCATGGAAACTCTCAGCTATCGGTTCCCATCTGCAAGAAAGCCATCCGCACCCTGGAACGGATTGGTTTTCTCAGAGCCAGTATCAGCCGTCGCCGATGGATCCCTCTTCCCATGTAACTCGGACATGCCCTGTCCACCGTGAGCCCAGCTACATCTGCCAACAGCCACATCTCCTACGAACCTCTGTGGCGGGCCTGGCACTGCACCGCCCCTTTGTGGCAGGGGTGGGATGGGGAGTCGGAACCTCGCCACTCCCAAGTTCACGTGCCCATCCCTCTGTGGGTGGCCCGATCCCTCCATGAAATCACCCCTTGTTCGGGGTAGCGTGACCTAACGGCCAGAGTCCACATAAATTGCTCCCAGCGTTGGAGCAGTGCGGCCCAATGGCCAGAGTCCATATAGCTCCCCACTCGCAGGCGGGGTAGTGCGGCCTAGCGGCCAGAGTCCATGTAACTCACCCCAAGTGTCAGGGCAGTGAGGCCCACGGTCCATATAAATTACTTCCAGCGTTGGAGCCCTGCGGCCCAATGGCCACAGTCCATATAACTTCCCCCTCTCAGCCAGGGTAGCGTGGCCTAGCGGCCAGAGTCCGTATGATTCCTGTGATGTGGGGAAGAGGTAGGGCCCGCCCTCTCCATCAGGTCCTGACCCAGGGCCCTGGTTGTGGCAAGTTCCCCTTGTCACCGGCTTGGCGGGGATCCGCCCGCAACACGCCGAGCCTCTGTGCGGCTCTAATGCCGTTTTCCTCTAAAGTTCCCCTGGGTCACTTCCTACCAAACTCCGGGTTCTCTGCTTCGGGAGGTCCTCTGGTCTGTTACCCTCCTGTGACGTACTCCGTCTGGGCGTCAGGGTGCGTCCCGGTTTGGCTGGCCTCCAGATCCTGGAGCGCAGACTGTCCCCCCTCGGCTTTTATACCTGTTCTCCAGTTGGAGCATGCCCAGCAGAGCCTCAGGGGTGTGGCTTCCTCTGCTAGGAAGGAAGGGTTAACCCCTGCGGTACCAGTGCAGGGCCGCTCTGCCCCATCACAACCTCCAAGACATTTGAATCACCTGCTTTCCGAGGGCTCCGTATCGCCCAGCAGTCACATTGCTCTTAGCTGCAGCCTGCAAGCTAGAGGGGAAGGCAATGACTTTCGCACAGGGAACCCTTGAGAGTAAGGGTGCTCGGACGCCAGAGAAAAGCTGCGGGAAGCCCGCAATGCAGCACCACTGCAGCGAAGCAGCCTGGGGCTCCCAGCAGAGACAGCCCGCTGCTTCCCAGAGTTGCATTGACGTCCGTTAGCCGGAAGAGCCTCCCACTTGAACTGACTGGATGCAGAGGGGGCCAGGAAGTGATGGTGCCACTAAAACTCTTACGGGTCCTGCGCTCTGAAGCCCCAGATGCCTAGCGGCCCTGGAAAGCGCAAGGGGGCTGCCAAAGTGGCAAAACTAATGAGGGGAGGAACAGACGGTTGGAAATAGAAGCCCAGCGAGGAGAGAAGAGTTTGGAGCAGAGGACAGAGAATAGTCATGGGCCAGTCTCATATCCGCAGCCTGAGAGTGGGGGTAAATGGAGAGGCAGGTCACTCGGAAACCTGCAGCCTCCAATCTGGAATTGGAACCATCTAACAAGCCTGAAGGGCCACCAGGAGCATCCACTCCTTGGAGGATTTCCCCTTTAATGAAGCGTTATTTCATGTGCTCCAGTGGCGTTGCTTGGATCATGCAAGAGACTGATCCCTGCCCCAAAAGCCTACAGTCTAAGGGCCTGATCCTACACTGCACTTATGGGATTCAGTGGCTAAGTTCCTCCTGAAGCTGCTCTCCATTCATCATCATCGGCGATCCCTTGATTCGAGGATGATCTCTACCACAAATTTACATATGGGTCCTGAGATGACTTAGGATTCTGAGCCTGGAACCCCAGATCCACCTGCAGTAGGTACAGACATTTCCTGGTGGGTCAGCTGCCTGCTGGGAGAAAGTTCTTTCCTTTTCCTTCCTTCTTTCTGTCTTTTCAGCTTCTTCTCGAAGCGGGTCCCTGCCTGATGGAGGATGTAATGCCATTGAGGTCAGTTGGTGGCTTGCTCCTCCCAGCTTGTGACGTCCAAATCAGTTTTCTTAATATGCTCTTTCAGTGAGTCTTTGTAGCGCTTCCTCGGACCACCCCGGGATCTCTGACCATAGGTGAGCTGAGAGTAGAGGACTTGATTTGGGAGGCGAGAGTCTGGCATCCGCACACAATGTCCAGCCCAGCAGAGTTAGTGCATGAGGATCATTGCTTCAATGCTGGTGACATTGGCGTCAGTAAGGATCATAGAATCATAGGACTGGAAGGGACCTCGAGAGATCATCTAGTCCAGTCCCTGCATTCATGGCAGGACTAAGGGTACGTCTACACTACCAGCCAGATCGGCGGTTAGTGATCGATCTATCGGGGATTGATTTA